GTGAGGCCCGTCTCTACCAAAAATAGAAAAATTAGCCAGGTATGGTGGTGCACATGCCTGTAGTCCCAGTTACTTGGGAGGCTGAGGCAGAAGGATCGCTTGAGCCCAGGAGTTTGAGGTTGCTGTGAGCTAGGCTGATGCCATGGCACTCTAGTCCGGGCAACAAAGTGAGACTCTGTCTCAAAAAAAAGAAAAGAAAAGAAAAAGAAAGATGGTGCTGAAATAACTCTTATCTAAATGTAAAAAAATAAAACAAAAACAGACAAAAAATCTTAACACATCTCACACCATCACAACAATTAATTTTCAATAGATTATAGACTAAGGCTGGGTACAGTGGCTCATGCCTATAATCCCCACACCTTGGGAGGCTGGGGTGGGAAAATTGCTTGAAGCCGGGAGTTAAAGACCAGCCTGGGCTACATAGCGAGACCTCATTTCTAAAAAAATAAAAAATTTAGCCAGGCATGGTGTCATACACCTGTAGAGCCAGCTACTCGGGAGCCTAAGACAGGAGGAACACTTGAGCCCCAGAGTTTGAGGGTGCTGTGAGTTATGACTGTACCACTGCTCTCTAGCCTGGCAGACAGGGAGATCCTATCTCAAAAACAAAAAAAAAAAAGTAGATCGATCATATACCTAAATCTAAGAGCTAATCATGATAAAGCTTATGGCAGAAGATATAAGAGAATAGCTTTGTGATATTGAGCACAAAGATTTTTTAGAAAGCGCCAGAAAGCACTAACTATAAATAAAGAATTGATAAAAATGAACCTTGTCTTAGTCTGTTCTCTGTTGCTAAAACTGAAGACCTGAGACTGTGTAATTTATAAAGAAAAGAAATTTAATTTTTATAGTTCTGGAGGCTGCAAAGTTCAAGGTCAAGGGACCACAACTGATGAAGGCCTTCTTACTGCATTATAAGGTGGCACAAGGCATCACATGGTAAGAGGGCAAGAGCATGTCAGCACAGGTCTCTCTTCCTCTTGTTATTTTTTTTTCTTCCTCTTGTGATGAAGCCAACATCCTAATTACCTCCCAGGGGCCCCACTTCCAGATGCCATCAACATATGAATTGGGAGATGAAATTTGGGGGCCACACTGAAACGATAATGGACTTCATCACATTTTTAAATTGCTGTTCATGCTAAGACCCCTTGAGAAAGTGAGTAGGTAAAACACAGATAGGGAATAAGCATTTGCAAGTCATAGCTGACAAAGGATTTGTGCCCACAATATAGAAATAGCTCCTATAAACCTATAATAAAAAGACCAATGACCCAATAAAAAAAATGGGAAAAGGCTTAAACAGGCACCTCACAAAGAAAGATCTATAAGTAGCCAATAAACACATGAAAAAGAGCTCAAAATTATTAGCCATCAGGGAAATAGAAATTAAAACCACCATGAAGTACCATTACACCCTTATTAGAATGGCTAAAATTTAAAAAACTGGTAACACTAAATATTGGTGAGGGTATGAAGTCACAGGAACTCTAATATATTATTGGTGGGAATTTAAAATGTACCACCTTTACTCATTAGGTGTGAATTAAAAAAAAAAAAGGAAAAAGAAAATAAAATAAAAGGTACCACCACTGTGAAAATCAGTCTAGCAGTTTCTTAATAAGGGCACACCCACCTATGACCCAGTTATTCAACTCCTAGGTTTTACTTAAGACAAATGGAAACGTACACAAAAAGACTTGTACAAAAATGTTCGCAGCAGCTTTATTCATTATATCCTAAAACCGGAAATGACCCAAATGCCTATCAACAGGAGAGTGGATAAACAGATCATGGCATAGCCATAACTGAATACTACTTATCCGTGAAAAGGAACAAACTACCAATACACACGACAGCATAAGGGAACCTCAAAAGCATGCTGAGTGAAAAAGCCAGACACAGTAGATAGAGTACATGTAATAAAATTTCATTCATATGAGGTTCTGGAACTGGCAAAACTAATCACTGATGAAAGCAATCAGAAGGGCATTTGTCTCTGTGGGTGAAAGGGAAGGGATGGACTAGAGAAGGAATTAGGGACCTTTCTGAGGCAATGAAAATCCCTGGTATCTTGATAGAGATACGGATTTTATGGGTGCGTGTAATTGTCAAAACTCACCTGTCTCTACATGTAAGATCTGTGCATTTCAATACATTTATATTATACCTGAATCAGAAAAAAAGTTTTGAGAAGTACATTGAAAAACAATTACGAAAACTGCTTTAACAAAACAGGCACAGTAAAGTCTGTTTTTAAGAGAAATCAAAATAAATCTGGGACCTATCGATATTGGAGATAATTAGGAAAAAGGAGGAAGAGAGAAAGGCGGTAATTGTCAGGGCCCTCACTTTTTGCCGGCGTACTAAGAACTCTGCTAACTACAGGCATGTCCTCATTTCATTCTCATGACCTATCTTTCAGATACAGTAGGAAATGGATGCTTTCATAAACACACCCTCCCACCATGCTCACCAAACACTTTAGGTATAAAAGCCCCATTATAAACTCAAGATATCCAGGCTTTTTTTTTTTTATCTCTCTTTAAAATTTCAGACAATAAATAGTGGATCTCTGCTTAAATCTACATTATCACTAACAAATGTGAACCATGGGAAAAAATACCTATAACCATTTTTTGGGTTCAGCAACTTCTATGAAATATGTACTGTGATCTATGACAATTCTTTTTTTTTTTTTTTTTTTTTGAGACAGAGTCTCGCTTTGTTGCCCAGGCTAGAGTGAGTGCCATGGCGTCAGCCTAGCTCACAGCAACCTCAATCTCCTGGGCTCAAGCGCTGCCTCAGCCTCCCGAGTAGCTGGGACTACAGGCATGCGCCACCATGCTCGGCTAATTTTTTCTATATATTTTTAGTTGGCCAATTCATTTCTTTCTATTTACAGTAGAGATGGGGTCTCGCTCTTGTTCAGGCTGGTTTCGAACTCCTGACCTCAAGCAATCCACCCGCCTCAGCCTCCCAGACTAGGATTGTATGACAATTCTTATAACATCTTAATTCCACGCAACTCATATTTCTAGGCAATTTGCCTCTCACAATGTACATCGGAGACTACAAAGCATAATTTGCCTAATAAATATGTTATCTCATGCTAACTGCTAAATCGAATCTAGCACAACTTCCCTGAGTCTCAAGAATATAACCTCTCCCAGGCTTCTGCATGAACTGCAGGTAGTTTTAAAATAAGGTAGCAACAGAGAAGGGGTGGGGCTAGATGGCCGAATAGAAACCCCCCTTGATCAACCCTCTGCATAAATCCCAAATTCAACAACTATCCTACACATGCAAGCACTTTCAGAAGAACTAAAAATCAGATGAGCGATCTTACTATCTGGTTTTAACATTATTCAAGGAAAGAGGCACAGAAGAGGGCAGAGGGCAGAAAAGACGATCTTGCATTGCCTGCGCCACCCCACCCCCGCCCCCAGCAGTGCCCTGCCAGCACACCTTGCGAAGAGAAAACCTGTGTGCTCCAGAGAGGGAGAGTGAAGTGATGGTGGGACTTTGCATTGAAACTCAGGGCCATCCTGGCACAGGGGGACCCGGCACGGGGCAGAATTCTGCCGGTACCCACGGAAGAAGCATCTAGACCCAGCCCAGCCAGAGGGAAACCCTCTGCCCTGACACCTGAGTTCTGGCTAGCCTCACCACCGGCTGACAAAAAGCAGCCTGAGAACTAGACTAAATCCATCCCAGGCAGTCGGGCCACCAAGGCTGCTGTCCTTGGGCAATTCTTGCAGCTGTGCTGGCTCAGAGCCATTGGACTTGAGGTGCATGTGACCCAGTGAGACACCAGCAGCGGTGGCCAAGCTCACCCCTCCCCCATCTACAGGCAGTACTGCTCAGGGGGTCTTCTTCCACTTGCAGAAAAGAACAGGAAGAGCTCAGAGGACTTTGTTTTGCAACTTGAGTAGCAGCTAAGCCACAGTAAAATAAAGTACCAAGCAGACTCCTGAAACCCCTGAGTCTAGGCCTTCATTCCTGGATGGCATTTCTAGACCTACCCTGGGCCAGAAAAGAACATGCTGCCTTGAAGGGAAGGACCCAGTCCTGGCAGCATTCACCACCTGCTGACTAAAGAGCCCTTGGGCTTTGAGTAAACATCAGAGGTAGCCAGGCAGCAGTCACCACTTCAGCCCAGGAGTTTGAGGTTGCTGTGATCTAGGCTGATGCCAGCGCACTCTAGCCCAGGCAACAGAGTGAGACTCTGTCTCAGAAAAAAGAACTCATGGTAGGCCGGGCAAGGTGGCTCACGCCTGTAATCCTAGCACTCTGGGAGGCTGAGGCAGGCGGATTGCTCGAGGTCAGGAGTTCGAAACCAGCCTGAGCAAGAGTAAGACCCCATCTCTACTATAAATAGAAAGAAATTAATTGGCCAACTAATATATATAGAAAAAATTAGTCAGGCGTGGTGGTGCATGCCTGTAGTCCCAGCTACTCGGGAGGCTGAGGAAGCAGGATTGCTTGAGCCCAGGAGTTTGAGGTTGCTGTGAGCTAGGCTGATGCCACGACACTCACTCTAGCCTGGGCAACAAAGCGAGACTCTGTCTCAAAAAAAAAAAAAAAAAAAGAACTCATGGTAAAATTTACTCACTGAAATATTATATAGCCACACAAAAGAATAAAATCTTGCCATTTGCAACAACATGGATGGAGCTGGAGAACATTATGTTGAGTGAAATAAGCCAAGCATAGAAAGACAAATCTTGTATGTTCTCACTCATATGTGGAGCCAAATATTAAAAACAATTGATCTCATGGAGTCAGAGAGTAGAATTATGTTACCAGAGGCTGGGAAGGGTAGGGGAACAGGGGATAAAGGGGGTATGGTTAATGAGTACAAAAATAAAATTAGATAGTTAGATGTAATGAACAATATTGGATAGCACACCAAAGTGACTACACTCAACAATAAGTTAGGGTATTAAAAAAGTGAGGCAGCAAGAATAGGAAAGGGCAAGAATGGTTCTTACCACATCCAGTACAGCATGGACAAATAGGTCCAGGTAGACGGTGGTGGTCTCTGTCCAGTCATGAACTGGTCTCACTTCCTTGTGATATTTCTGTAATAGCTGCTTCGTGAGATGATGGAGAACAGAATTCCTGGGATGAGGTGCATCTATGGCTAGAATTCCTGGAAAAGAAAACTATCACTGTGAAGATGAATATAACAGGAACTGAACGTGTTAAGACTGCTTAGGATGCAGTGGCTCTTCGTGGAATATAGTTTTTGGCTCACCCCAGTCCGCATGAATTCACAGCCAGCTGGTAGGGTCTTGGCAAACACTTATTTTAAAGTAAGCTAATGGCCTAAGTGCCCGGTGCATTGTAAAGACAAATAAATCAACCCCATCTCCAAGGTTGCAAACCGCAGCCACGATTCTGTTTTATAACAATCATGCATCTTGGAGACAGAATCCTTTTTTTATTCCTGTATTACCCACTCTTGGCATAGAGAGGAAACCCACCTATACACTTAGCCAAAACTTAACTCCTGCTTTGGTTTTTCTTTGGATTATTCATTTGTAATTCAGCAATTAAACCTTACAGAACACCCAAGCAAAAACATGGACAAATCGGCGAACCCAAACATCTGTGCGGATTTCTAGATAACAGGATTACTGAGATTCCAATTCATACTTTGCTCCTCAAAAATCTCCTTTCTCACTTGTCTGTCTCTAAATAAAATGCACTTGTCAGAAAATGAGATCTTTGTTTGGGGGGAAATTCTCTCTGGTTCTGGGGAACAACCGTTTCTTGTGACCCAGGCATCTTGATGCGCAGAGGAGCCGTGATTGGTGTTGAGGCCGGGGAGGCCAGAGGGAAGGAAGCGAGAGAAATGAGCTCTGGCAATTGGAAGTGACAAATTTCTGAGGGCTTTCTCTGAATTGCAAAAGGATATTTTGTTCACAATCTTTGCCAGCCCTTAGGGGATACAAAGCCTCACTAAGTCATTGGACCGAAGCAAATTGCACACCTCCTGATTCAGCGCGTGAGCGAAGCCTGTCTGTACTGTCCTGCGTGTGACTGTGCCTGGGCTCTCAGTGCTTTTGATGGCTATTTTGATGAGCTGCTGAAGGCATGAGGGATCCAGCGGGAAACTGTAAATGAGATCGCTTCTCCCCGTGCGACAATCCTGTTTATGCCCATTTCTTTATGAATGATGTCATGTCACTTGCCACCGCAGGCAGCAATTTCTATGATTTAACAATGTCAGTGTGACCAAAATGCTAACCCTGGGGCTGGAGGTGCCATGCCAGACTCCTTGTGGGCAGTGGAATATTCACTTTCATTACCATCGGAACTGGGAATCTAATGAGCATTTTAACTCCCTAACTATTCACCCAAGAAGACGCCTAAAATGGTGTTAGCTATTCAGGCGTGCAGGACTAAGGTGGGTGGCTTGCATCAGGCATCATTTGTAGGGTTTTTATGAACTGTTATTGTCAAAAAGTGTGCTGTGAATCTCTCTACCTGAGAACATTTCTGGCTGGTGTACCCCAGGGGAGGGAAGTCAGGAGCACGAAGCAAAGCTGGCCCAGTGCTTTTCCTGCAAACTTTGCTTTGGGCAGCTTCACTTTTACCTCGCTTGGAAGCTCCCAATTCAAGTCTCAGTTGGGGAAACAATGAAATGTGCATGTTTCAATACAGGAAACTACCTGACCCAGAGTTAAAACATAATTCTATGTGTTCCCTGCACCCCCTGCTCATAAAGACTCAAATTCCTCTCTGCTGTCTTTTCTAGGAAACCATCCATGGGTTCCCCATGGATACACACATGTTTTCTAGAATGTGTCAAAATCTTTGGTTAAAAAGAGAAAGTTCTGGAAGCTGGGACTAGGAACAAAAGAGAAACAAGCAACGAAGGGAGAAAAATAATAAGCAAAGGGAAATGTGCTTAAATAAACCAAAAGGGGGAAGGAATTCTTTGTTTAAGATGGGAAGAAATAATAAATTGCATTTCTACTATGAATGCAAATTTGCCCGAAGAGAAAGATCAATTACAGGAGAGAGATTAAGGATTTAAGTGACCATTAATTAACAGTAAATTATGCCCCTTGAAAGCTAATGTGACATTCACACAAGCACTAAATGACTCACAGTTCAGTGATGTTTCAACGGACACTGATGGAAGCTATCAACAGACCCAGAAAAGATTCCTCACCAACACTGCCTCCTTGAATGCTAATGGACAGTCTCAAATAATTCACTTGTGAGATTTCTGGGAAAGTAGAATGTGTTAGGGACTGAGCTATGAAGCACTTGTAGGTGAAGAGAGATTAAAAAAGAAGATAAGAGTACAATACAATTATTCCTTTGTTTTCCTTGTTTTAATGAGTTACTCTGCCACATGCACCTATCTTAAAATGTTTGGGGCACTCTGAAGAAAAGAGCTATTCTTGCTTTAGTTATATGAATACATTTATCTGAGGGGTTACAAGGAAATAGAGATTTAGGTACTGAATTCCTAATACTAACTGAAGACTTCCTTACTTGCCAGCCACTAGGCTGAGCTCTGCACATGAAGGATCTTTAGCGTTCACAGCGACCTCATGAGATGGGTACTCTACGGTCCCACAAGGAGTACTCTGTTAACGCAGGTGACAGACTATAGACATAGGTAGGTTAGTACCAAGGTCATGCAGCTTGCAAGTGGAGGAGCTGGGGTTTAAAGACAGCTGAGCTGGATCCAAAGCCCAAGCTCTTAATCACGCCACTACACTGACGTGAGAATATTAGGAACAGCAGTGAGTAACCCTTCCGAAGGAAAACTGACATGTTGCATGGTGTATGTTATCAGACAGAAATAGCCAGTGTTGTTTTCTCTGCGTGTGAGTGTTTTCAGGTTAATGATATCTTATACATGCATTGCACCTTACAAATTCACAGTGCTATCTTATTTTACCTTCATGAATATTCAAAATAACAGTTAACTTACAGAGAAACTGCATCTCTGAGAGATTAATTGACTTGCCCAGAGTCACATGGCTGGTGAGTGGTGAAGCAGGATCTAGATGGTTCCCCTCATCCGGGCCTCCTCCACCCCCTCGCATTGCCTTCTGGGAACAGGTATGTACTGGTGATTGATAATAATGCTCTTATATTTACAAATTGTCTTGATTTGTAACTATAATAAAATTTGTGAATATAGTAAAACCCAGAAAAATTCCAAAAGGCAGATTTTTCTGTAACAAATGTCCTCAGTATGATTTATGGTAAAGCATTGGTTATTAGACTCTATTAAAACAATTTTTCTGCTACATTTAGAACCAAAATCATGCATAATACAAGACATTAGAAAGCGATATCATTAAGAAGAATTTCTTCTGTTTTCTTACCTTCATTTTTCTATTTTATCTTGCTTTAATGTTCACAATTATTTTCTGCTAAAAAACCCATTTGGCATTTAATGAAATTTCCTCTGTTTTTATTTTTATAATTAAGATATGCTTTTATCCTTTATGTTCAACATCCAGGATTTTTATACGTTAATGATAAGTGGCTATTTTTCTTCTCTACCCAATAAAAAAATCATTTCCAGCTCCTTGGCTACCAAATTCCTAACTCGTCTTTGTAATTGACTCATTCCACTTCCAGTTACACTTTAAAACTTGAGAATTTAGATATGAGCTCTAGAAGAATCCCCAAGAAAGTGCAGTGTTGGGAAACAGCAGCATAAACATAAATTCTTGATTTGTGCACATTTTCTAAGGATCAATTGTATCCTAACTGAAATGGTTCAATTCAGTAGAGTTAATACTGGCACTATGGAAGTATAGTTCCAGAAGTTTAGAAGAGATACATTAGTTTCTAAAGCGTTTTTAAGAGGAATTGTGTACTCAAAATTTGCAAGTTTATAATACCTGTCTTTAGAGATACACTCATCACCTATATAGATTTTGTAAGGCTGGATGTTAAAGCCTCTAATACCAAAATGATATACACATGTCTGTAGTTGTGAAAAATCCAAGAGACTCTTTCTCTGAGCTGCTGAAAAGCTTATCATGAAGCCGAGATTATTTTGGATAATAAAAATATATTATCCACACATAAAAGTAAATTTGGAAAAGAATGCCCCAAACTCTCAATGTAAATGGCTGCAGAGAGCTGGATTTCTAGCAAAGCAGAGATTTATCAAGCAATTATAACATCACGGAGCATATTTCAGCTATGTGTAAAAAGCCCCATAGTGTGACACTTTATGTATGTGTATCTATTATATAATTGTAGGAACAAAGTCAGAAGCAAATCATTGATCTCTGTGTAGTTTCCCAGGACTGATATTTTACAGATGAATAAAACAAACATGAGGAGTTCTACAGCACAATGTATAAAAATATTGTCTCTAGCTTCTAAGAGTCAATACTCAGCGCGTACTGAAATCATGTAAAGGACTCACCCGAGGCAGCCACCAGGATGCAGGGCCACAGATGGGCCATCACACTTGCCAGCATTCCTGGTCAGGTCCCAAAGAAGAGAATGCAAACTTGCCTACCAGATGGAATGCCGCTCAATTTTTCCAAACAGGGCTCCTCTCCACTCCGTTCCTCTCTGTTTGACAGTTTGTACTACCCTTACTGGTGCTATTTTGTAAACACTTGGTGGGACCAAAGGCGATATCAGCACCATGCAAATGTTTTGGAATTGATGCCATCACGAAACCCCTAACTTCTCCCTTTGGTTCTGCCCCAGGATCAGATCCTGGCCAACATTTCCATTTCCCTGACAGAAGATAGCTAAGTGAATAATGTAATCTAAGAGGAGCCCCTAAGGAGAGGAAATTCCACACTAATATGATTTCCTTTACAGCCTTTACCTAAGGCAATGCTCTTGCTGACATTCAGGACACTAATTTCATTAATAATTGAAATCTAAATAGCTGTTCTAAATCAGACTTATGCAGTAACATCTTTAGCATTTAAAAATGGTTATTGGACTCTTGAATTACACAAAGCTAATGGAAACCTGGTATTGTTTAATGAAGAACAACTGCAAACAATACAATGGGAAAAGTGCTTTTTGTTTTTCCTAAGCCCCTTTAATTAAAAGAAGCATTGATTTTTGATAAATAGGAGTGCTTCTTAAATCTTCGCTGCCCACAATTCGGAAAGTAACTACCTAAGAAAGGATGATTCTAGGCTTATTGAAGATGAGAACTACTGAAGTTTAACATCATTCAATAAAAGTTTTTTTTTTTTTCACTTTTTGGTTGAATACCCATTCACTCTTCATTACTAAGGAAAAAGAATGCACAATTCTATACAACAACTCTATTTTCCATTGGTAGACCTGCAGATGCTCTAGAAAGCACAACCAAATTCCATACCATTTCCAATATCTATCTGCTTTTTTTATTCAATTGAGATCATAGAGGCAAAGCTTTGAGGTAAATTTTCACCAAGCAAAATGAGACGGGAAATGTATATATTTGATTCCTATTCTCTTAATCACTCAGTCCCTTTGTTTAGAATCCATGAAGTTCTCCATCTAATTTTAATCTACCAATAAAATGTAGCCTGACTGCTTTTTCTCTGTTGCCAAAGGGAGTTATAAATAACTCCCTTCAGTGAGAGGGAGAAAACTAGGATGAACCCAGTGGTGTTGAATTGGTTTTGGAAGTGTCAGTGTGAACCCATGGTTTTTAGTATATAAAGCTCAATGCAGAAATAAATACAAACGTAAATGTATGTGCACACATGTTCATACATACCAATCTTCCACATACATATGTTCCATAGGTCTTTCCACTAGAGGGCCTGGGAGAGAGACACCCCAATAGCAATGAGCACACCCGGCACTCAGATCTTAGCTTCTAAATGCCATACTCAACTAAAAGGAAGAAATGGTGAAGTGAATGATTCCAGACCTGAGGAAAGCTATGAGAAGAGCCTAAAACATCCTGTTGTACCAGAAAGCAAAGAAGTACTAAAAGAACGATGGATACATGATAAAAAGACATAGGAGTCAGCTTGAAGGGGCTTCCACTGGCCATATCTAGGGCAATTTGAGCCTCAAAATCAATAATGATCATGTCAAATTATAACCCACTAAATAAAACAATAATCTGCAAATTCATATTGATCTAAATAAACAAATGGGCCGGGCATCCTGGCTCACGCCTGTAATCCTAGCACTCTGGGAGACCAGGGCAGGAGGATCACTTGAGGTCAGGAGTTCGAGATGAACCTCAGCAAGAAGAAGACCCCATCTCTACTAAAAATAGAAATACATTAGCTGGGCAACTAAAATAGAAAAAAATTAGCTGGGCATGGTGGTGTTTGCCTATAGTCCCAACTACTTGGGAAGCTGAGGCAAGAGGATCACTTGAGCCTAGGAGTTTGAGGTTGCTGTCAGCTACGCTGACGCCACAGCATTCTAGCCCCGGCAACAGAGCAAGAGTCTGTCTCAAATAAATAAATAAATAAATAAGTGATTAGGAAGAAGAGAATCTTTTCCTTAAATTAGAATGCCAACTAATAAATGTAGAAGGGATGATAGAATTGGCATATAATTAATTCACCCAGAAAACATCCATGGTTGCTAAAATGAGTTGGTCGAAGTTTGATGAGGAATAGGACATTTATACAAAATACTTATTAATTACAAAGATTCTTTTAAAAGACAAACTTTTGGCCGGGCGTGGTGGCTCACACCTATAATCCTAGCACTCTGGGAGGCCAAGGCGGGTGGATTGTTTGAGCTCAGGAGTTCGAGACCAGCCTGAGCAAGAGCAAGACCCCATCTCTACTAAAAATAAAAAGGAATTAGCTGGCCAACTAAAAGTATATAGAAAAAATTAGCTGGGCATGGTGGCGCATGCCTGTAGTCCCAGCTACTCAGGAGGCTGAGGCAGAAGGATCGCTTAAGCCCAGGAGTCTGAGGTTGCTGTGAGCTAGGCTGACACCATGGCACTCTAGTCCAGGCAACAGAGTGAGACTCTGTCTCAATAAATAAATAAATAAAAGACAAACTTTTCACTGGAGAAAGCTAGCAGCAACACCTTAATCAAACAATGAAAGTTAACGTCACCAGTAATGAAAATTGTGTGCCACGAGACAGGATGAATTGAGAAGACACAGGAGCTCTTGTTGTACAGTTTTGCCAAAAATCCATACCTTAAATGTATTCAGGAAGAAACACCAGACAATCCATATTATAGAGCACACAAAACAGCAGGCATGGAGTCTTCACAAGTGTCAAAGTTACGAAAGTCAAGGAAAGACTTAGGAACTATATCAAACAAAAGGAAACTAAAGAGACATGACAACCAAGTGCAATGTGGGATCCAAAAGGTTGTATCCTTTTGTTATAAAGAACATTTTGGGGAGAACTGGTGAAACTCAGATGACGCATGTGGATTAGATGACAGTATGTAGCAATGTTGACTTCCTGATTTTGATTGGATTTGATTATACAAAAGAACGTCCTTGTTTGTATTCAAGGGTGACGGTGCATCATGTAGGTAATTTACTCTCAAATGGTTGTATGGGGCAGTGGAGGAAGTTCTTTCTACTGTTCTTCCAATTATGCTGCACATTTAAAAATATTCTAGAAGAAAAACAAATTTAAATGTAACCTGGTAGAGGAACTTTGATAAACAGTTACGGAAAGTTTATTTGAGAAATACCCTTTAGAGAGGGTTGAGCAGATAAACGGAGTTTCATCAAGAGATGAGCTTCCAGAGGATTAATCTGGCCCTCAAAATCCCAGCACTTTCCATCAGTTCTTCAAATGGTCAGCTTCTACGTATGAGATGAATTAGGACAAGAGAAAGGCAAACTACAGGTAGTAGCACTTTGGATGGGGAGGGAACACAGAAAGCTTCCCTTTATGGAAGGGTTTAATTGAGGTGATGATCAACATTGCATTCTGGCCATGCACTTTAGTAAAGCCATGACTCTAAGTCAAACCTTCTGGGACATGCTTCCCCTCCCTTTTCCTTGCACTTTCTCATATGCCCATCTGTTACGGGAAGGCCATTGCTAATGATCTGTAATACAGGTACATTACGGCCTTCATTAGCTAACTTAACAACAGTCTGGTGCGTCTGCCCATTACAGCTCTTTATTGGCTGATGAATTCTGCCAAGATGGAAATGGTTTTGTGTGAGTGACTTGTCTTCCAAGCAGTTTACATACAGATGCTTCCTGCTCTCTTGTTGATGGCCCGGCCCTGTACCGTCGGCTGGCTCCAGTCTTTCTTTTTCTAACCTCACTGTCCTGTCTGGGTTTAGTTTGTGTACTCAGTACTTGTAGATTTCGTATCACCCCCCTCACTCCAACCTTTAATTTTTCATGAAACTACTCCCTTCTCACTCTCCTTTACATACAGCACTTTTCATCTAGAGAAAGATTTTTATTTGCACTGTTTCTGATAATTCCCCAGACATCTTCTTAGGAAGGATGAGTGTGGGGATGAACCTCATTTGGGCCCTTCCAGCAGATCAAAATTTTGGAATCATGGATGGCTGGGCATTTGGACATAAGTAACATCACTTGGGCAAAAGAAACAAAGACATAATTTGAGATTTGAATCTGCCATTCTCTGACAGCAGTTCTGGCCAAGCCCATCATTAAGACAGTGCCTAGAAATATATTTCTTTCAGAAGCCCCCACTTCACACCCCTAAGAGCCCTTTCTCCCTTGTTTTCAAGCAAGATACGGCACATCTTAGATAGACCAATGTCTTTCGGAAGAAGCAAGGGGAGAGGGTTTATTATGCAAACATAATAAGGAAGTGTTTATTATGCAAACAGCAACTGAGTTATGTGTCCTTTAAGACTACTAAATAGTTTTTAATTACTGCTATATCAGTAAATCCCATAAATATGCAAATGCAATTAGTTCACAAAATAGGCCTTAAATATCTTTATTCCTCTCCAACAAAGTTCTTTGAAGTTAATCACTAACTCTCTTTGTTCACTCCCTTGGCAGTCGTGCTGAAATTGACAGGAATTTTGACAGATGTACATATTCAGGGGGAACCAAATTTTCTGAGCACATCTGGTCAGGCTGGAGGAAAAAAGCCGAAATGGACATTCCAGCCAAACTCAAACATTTAATGAGTAGAGTCCCATGTGACATTTCTGTTACTCCATCGGGTTGTCCTCTGAAATAAATATCGAGTGAACTACTGAGGCGGCACTTCAAGTCCAAAGACACACTCAGCATTTGATTTTCCTCTAGCTTAGAATTTTATTGTTAATAATAATGCACATTTTCTAGTCCCCGAGAATAAATAAATAAGCACAGGAATAGAGTCTTTCGTGGTTCTGGCCTTTTGCTGTTTATGTGTCAAGGGTTTTCTATAGGAATTCAGAGAACATAAGAAATAAGGACCCAGGCCTTAGAGTCAGACATACCTCATTTTGCATCCAAGCTTCATCACTCACTAGATGCTCATGGCCTTGGCCACATTGCTTACTGTTTCTAAGCCTTAGTTTTCATATCTGTAAAATGGGTTTAATCGGTATTGGGTT